AAGGCATCACTAAACCAAATTACCCAGGATTATTTTCTGATAGTATAGCATTAATAAAGTGATACAAACCCTAACGACTCGCTGGTGGTCAACAGTGATGTGAGTATAGCTGTTGTGGACGTATTGACCACAAACCCGGCCCTCCTTTCGATGCAATTATTAATACATTAAAATAAATTACATTTTATTTTTAAAGTTTATAATAATTGCATACATGGTCTCCCGGGTGCTCTGGGCTATTGTGCCGATCAGTAACGAACTGATACCTAAACCCAGTAGTATTTGGGACACTATTACGAGCCATAAGTTACTGTTTTTAAATTAAATTCAAATAATTAAATTTTGTTATTAATTTTAAAATATAAATGTTTATATTATTTACGGTTTTAATGGGACGGCAGGTAGTGGTCCTATTATAGCTAAACACATGAGTGTTAACAAGCATCCCATTAAACTTATTTTAAAGCTATTATCACATTTATGAGCTAGGTGTTCCCAGATATTATTAAATAAAGCCAGTGATAAACCGGATATTAAAAATATCAACCCTTTAGAACCGGTGCTTATATTCGTGATCTAAAGTAAAAATTTAATAATAAGTATAAATCTATAATTTAAAGTTAACTAAATTTAATTAATTACAGTATTTATATGTAAGTCCAATGTTGTAGTGTTATATCCGATGAGAGCGCCGGCATTCAATGTGAGCAATACATTAAGTGCCACACCAGTGTTGGACAATAGTTGACAAAATGTAATCTTATCGGTGTTTACATACAATTCTGTACAAATAAGGCAATAATAATTAGCAATTATAATATTAGTAATGAAATAATACACTAACTCACTGTCAGTATTGACTGTGAAATGAATGACAATAGCCGTCAATAATGATATGATTCCGAACACATAGAAAGGCATACAAAAACCCAAACCATATAAGTCGCCCAACTTTTTAAATGCAAAACATTATGTCATCAATTAATTTTTTAAGATACAAATTAATGATAATAATACCAGTACTAGTTATTAAATTATAATTTTTAAAAGTTAAGCTACCTGGTATAAAAATCCAGCAATAGGCGGTCCTATTATTAAACCAATCGAGAAGTTTATTTCTATTTTGGCCTAAAAGTAATAAACATAATATTATTAACTTGGGTTATGTTGTATTAATCAAGTGACTTAATTAATACTCACATATACATCAGACATATTATCAGAAAACTCCAAACATATGATTGAATAACAAGTAGTAAAATAAGTACCCATTTGTAATCCAATTAGGATTTGTATTATTATTGCAATTACAATGAAATGGATTGTTGAGTAACACCATTGAAGTGATCTAGTATATAAATAATAAATTATATTTTCTATTCTTAAAATATATATATAGTAATTACCCAAACAGTATGACACATAACCCAAACATAAATACAGTAGATTTCAATATGTATTTTGGTTTAAATCGAGTTAACTATAGAAGAAACGTGTTATTAATACTTGTATTTGTCGTACAGAATATTGATATAAGAATTGTAATAAAAAATTACAAATTTACCAATTTTCTAGATAAAATAGATCCAGTAATAAATCCAAAATTAATAATCCCGTTAATGACACCAATCCATGTCTCGCCTATTCCTCTTGAATGTGCCTAAAATCAGATTTAAACAATTCTTTGCTATAACATTGCATTTGAGATTTATTTAAAGATTTGAAATTAACTTTGAAAAATGTGTGCTGTTTTAAAACTATTTTGTTATAATATATTATAAAATTATAAATAAAACACCACTAAATGTCTAATATGTGATATATTATACATACAAATGATGGGAAAAATGGTCCGTCAAGTGATGCGGCAGTACTGGTCAATACACTCCCGAAACATAGCACTAGTAATAAAACTAATTGCTTTGAATTGAATTTAGTTTTGAAAAACTCTTTTTTACAAAAATCATTTATCTTATTTTCATCTAAATTCTTGTTTGTATAAATATCCCTAACACAATTATTGTTATTATCATAACATATCTTATTTTTTAAGCATTTATTCATATTTGAATAAATAATTTTAATTTCATTAAATACTATATGTAATCTACCTTTTATATACAATATAAATACTACAATATTAATACAAAAATTTCCAAATGACAATGCTTTTATTGTCAACAATCCAGTAGTATATGCACTAAACACATGAGTTTAACAAATTAATTAATCTTACGTCACACTTGTATTAGAGTTTTATAACTAGTACTTAAAGCCATATCCTTTTGTATAATATAAAAATCTACAAAAAATAATTGTAATTAACCAAGCTAATTTCTTAGAAATTCAATCATTTATATTTAGTACTCTACAAGAGAGTTCACACATTTTAGCAAATATTTGTATCAAAATATACATCTGAATAACATTTGTAAATAATATTGATTTATTTGAAGTGCTTTACTTTATTTCACTGTTTACTTGTTTGAAAGAATCTTATAATTAATTTTAAATAGATAAACCTGTTTAAATATAACATACATTTCATGTTATTAATAACTATTAATATAGTATTTTACAAGGGTACAAATACATTAATTCATAAATCTTGTACCTTTTGTTTAATCTTGATTAATTATCAGTGCATGTGATATAGGTGGAGATGGACCTGGTTAATTATTTTTTCAATTACAAACATTGATGTTCACTTCGAATTAATTAATATATATTTTATGTTTGCTTGACATTAGGGACGGAAATGATGCCATCATTTGAATGAACATAATTTTCCATGTTATCAAGCACACATTTGAAATAATATTAATTTTTTAGTTTTGTGCATTATAAATAAATTTTTAAAATACACATAAATTTTTGTAATGATTGAAAAGATATGAAAATAACTCCAAACCAAACAAAATTACAAATGATATAAAACTGTAAATTTATTTACTTTTAAATTTAGACATTTTCATTCATAATTTACATTGCTAATTGGTAAATGAATCATGCAATCAATCTGTAACTTATTTTTAGTTTCCTTAGTTTTATTTGATTTAGAAAATTAAATTCAAAATTATATGTTTGTATAAGTTTTGCGACATTTTAATAATTTTATACTTTATGCAAAGTTATTTTTAAAACAATTATATTTTAATTTAAACCAATCTGATGACACACATAGACCCTGTTTGTCGCATCTTAACGTCATCACTATTATCGACGTGATATATACTATTATCAACAACAAAATCATCCTGATTATCCTTATTATACTCTCGCCACAAACAGTATATAATAATAGCGCCCATCTGTAATCATATCATAATCAATATTTAAACATAAAATATATTTCAAAAACAATAAATAGTTACCAAAAATAGTTGAAAAGCAAAGAATGGGAACGAAGACCAGGAATAGTCAAAACTTTCCATAAGAGTGCCGCCGACTACCGGACCAAATGCATCCCTGATCATCAAAATTATTAAAACATTTGGTCAGGAACAAATTAAAATTATATAATGAATGTCACAATAAATACCCCAAAGCCTCAAATGTGGTGAACAGTGATGATAGGACTGCCGTAGTGGACGAACACTCTATAAACCCTCCTCTACTATACATTTCAAAATTAAATTTGTAATTAAAATTGTAAATGCCATGATAATAAATTATTAATAATTATACATACACGGTCTCTCGAGTACCCTGAGCAAATGTTCCCACCAATAATGCACTGATTCCCAGCCCAAGCAATACTTGTGATATTATTACCAAATACAATTGACTGTAGGGAATGGCATACATGATATATTAATAACATTTAAAGTGATTTAAATATAAATAATATATTTACGGCTCAATCTCTATCATAGGTATGGGTCCTATAATTGTCAGACATATCAGCGCCGACAGGCATCCGATTAAACTAATTGTGAACTTATTATTGATTTTATGGGCCAAATGCTCCCAAATGTGATTGAATGCCACAAGACTTACACCCGATATCAAGAATATGAGGCCAACCATTGATGCCGACAACTCTGTTATCTATTCATTATAACCGTAAATTAAAAACTGTATTTAAAATGACTGTATAGTACTCATACATCTTCCAAATGCAACTCCAGTGTCGTTGTATTGAATCCGATGAGAGCGCCGGCATTCATGGTAATCAACACATTGATAATGATTCCCACATTTGATAGCAACTGACGGTATGTTACGTTCCCCTTATTCTCATATAATTCTGAGTAATAAGATTTAAATAACTTTATAATTTAAATAAAATTATAAGATATTATAAAATAATACTATCATATATACATACTTTCAGTTTTAACAGTGAGGAATATGACCAGGGATGTGAAAATAGCGATTATACCGAACACATAAAACGGTACACAAAAGCCTACTCCGTATTGATCGCCCAACTATTAACACAATTATTTCATTGATTTAGTTAATTAACATTATAGAAATAATATTATATTTTATTATTAAAAAATTATTATATTAGAATTTTTTATATTTATCATGATATTAAAAAGTGTAAGACAATTACCTGGAACACAAAGCCAGCCAATGGGGGTCCGATAATCAGTCCAATTGAATAGTATACCTCTATTTTGGCCTAAAGTTTTAATTATTTATGGTATAATTTACAACAAGTTTTATATGAGACAATAATGATTTATAATGTATTTTCTCACATAAACTATTTCCAAATTTTTGGTGAACTCGAGACATATGATTGTATAGCATGTCGTGAAATAAGTTCCCATTTGAAAGCCAACCACCAATTGAATACATATGGCTATCGGCACGAAGAAAGTCGCCGAATAACACCATTCAAGTGACCTAATCGTATTCAGTCACCCTGGTTAGATTACTGGTCAAAAGGACAAGTATTCAAATCATACCCAAATCCGATGATAGAAATACCGAATAACAAGACACATGTTGT